GGGCAGGTTTCCTACCCTACCCTTCCCACTTCCCTGTGGGGAGCCCAGGGCTGGGAACTCGGCCAACCCCTCCCTACAGAGCCCCGGATGTGAAGTTCTGGGGGCCTGTGGTTAGCACCCTGTCCTTGCTGAGCTCAAGTGGCACCAGATCTTGGGGAGCCTGGCCCGTGGCCCTCAGGAGGGGTGAGGTCTGCAGGCTCTGGAAGTGGTCCAGGAGGAAGAGCACCCCGGTTTCTGTTTCATTCTCAAAGGACCCCATGGTCCCCAAACATCTGGAAAGTCCTGGAAAGGCAATTTTAAGCCTCCTGAACTACAGCTTCCATTAAGGAGTGATGTGCGAGTTGGGTGTGGTATACATACCTGTCATCCCACGCTCGGGAGGCAGAGACAGGAGGATCTCTGTGAGTTGGAGGCCAGTCTAGGCTATACAGTGAGCTCAAGGCCAGCTTGAACTGCATAGTGAGATCCTATCTCAAAAAACAAAAGAGACTGAGGAGATAGCTCAGTAGAATAAGCACTTGCCTGGCAAGTGCAGGATCGTGAGTTCAATCCCCAGTACCGCAAAAAAAAAAAAAAAAAAAAAAAAAAAAAAAAAAAAAGAGTGGTGTATAACTGTGGTCCATCCACTGAGAGCTAGAGACAGGTGTGGACAGGAAGGGAGTTGGCATTCCCAAGGCCTGGGAAGCTTGGGGAACAAGTCTAAACCCAGGTTGCTGCAGGCCAGCTTTGAGCCTGTAGGGAGTGATCGTGGCTGGCCTTGTCTCAGGCGGCTCCAGCCTTGGCCTTGCCTTCTCCTGCTGGTCCTCTCTGCATGTGGGGGTTGACTCAGGGTCCCCCACACCCTTTGTTCCTGAGGTACCCTCCGCAGATGACCTCTGGTAGCTTACAGCTGAACCCCCTCGGCCATGACCCTATTTCCTTAAAGTTGCAGCACAGTTAGGACTTCGATAGCCAACCCTAACCTCCACGTCCTCCTGAGGACGCGGTTACCCCCAGGATGGGCCCTGACACTCTAGCAGGGAGCGTGTCAGGGCGGGGAGCCAACCGGAGAGCAAAGTGCGCAGGAGGGAAGTGGGCGCGGTGGTCCCACAGCAGCACAGGGGCCCGTGGACTCCGGGTGACCGGCCATGGTGGCTGTGAATGCTGTAGGGGCAGGTTGTGCCCCAAGCGACTTGGTTTTCTCCTGGCTTTGTCAAGAGTCCCGGTGGTAGGCAGGGAGGGAGCCCGCAGCTCCTGGACCTGAGCTGGAGCCCACAGAGCCTCCTGAGCCCTGGGTGTCTGGGGGCCGGAACAGGGCCCCCTGCTGACCCGCACACTTGGCTCGCAGCTCCTGGAGCCCCTTTCTGCTCTGGGGGAGAAGCACCCTGCTCTTAGCTCCTGACCACCCAGACCCTCCTCTGAGTGTGAGGTGACTCCACATCAGTCTCCAGCCGCACAAGGGAGGCTGCAGCCTCAGGGTGTTGTGTAGGGAGAGGATGGTCGCCCCTGTCCCCTGCCCTCTAGCTGTGCTCACCTAGTTCTTCCCACACAGGTCCCAGCCTGTCCCTTTCTGTAGATTTTTTTTCTTTCTTTTTTTGAGACAGAGTCTCACTGTGTAGTTCAGGCAGGCTTTGAACTCACTGGGTAGCCCAGGCTGGCTTCACACTCATGGCGATCCTCCTGCCTTAGCCTCCCACGTGCTGCGATTAGGCTGTACCCTACCCAGCCTTCACATAGATCTTGGGGGCGAGTCCCCACCCTGTACCCCACTTGCAGCAACCACATACTCACACCCCCTTCCTCTGTGGCCAGGGCTGAGTTCTGGGGTTCAGTCACCCTGAACCTGTGTACCCAGGCTGCTTCAGGGCCGCCCAGGGCCTCCCCAGGCCTTCTGCCCGGGGCTTGGCTCACAGAGCACAACTGGGGCTCTGAAGGCTGGGGACTGCACGGCATCTTGCTATCTCGTCTTGGCCCCTGAGGCCACAGCATGCAGCCGCACGGACGCGGTGACCACGTGTGGCTGCACACCTGAGGTCCTGGCTGGTTCGCTGTGGCACCAACTCCACACCCAGGGAGTCAGTGGGATGCGTGCCTTCGCTCACTCACGTCTTCGCTCATTCACTCAGTCACTTGTTCACGCACGCATTTGCTCACCCACTCGCTCATTCAGTGCTCGCTCATTCACTCGCTCATTCGTTTTTTTAGTGTTGTTTTTGTTTTGATTCCAGGAAGCGAACTCCTGACTTGGCACTTGCCAGGCAGGTGCTGTCCCGCTGAGCCATATCCCTGCCACCACTCACTCATTCATTTATTCATTTATTCATTTATTCACTCACTCATTCATGAGCGGACCCACACAAATGTGAATGTGTAGTCTTATCTGTCACACTGCCGCCCAAGGGCCTGGAAAGCAGGGCTGGCTCGGAGGTACAGAGCCTAGAGCAGCAGGGCACGGACACACACACAGTGCCGCCACCTCTGCTGTCACGCCTGGCTCCTCTTCGTCACTTCCGCAGGCCTAGTGTGGGCCCTGGCTTGCCTGCCCTTCCCTGGGGATGCTGGGACGCCATGGTGCAGGGAAAGAGGCAAGCTTGCATTCATTCACCAGCCAGGACGGAGGGCTTCTTCAGGCCTTGGTCCCACCCTGTGTCACCCCTATGTCACACACTCTAGGCCTCCGCTCCCTTGGGACAGCTCCCCCTTGGGCTGGAGGCTGCATCTGGCTCCATGGCTGGTAATACAATTTGTCAGCAGACGGGAGAGGTGATGTACGAGAAAGCATTTAATACGAAAAGAGCTCGTGCAGAAGCCCAAATTTGATTTAGACAATGAACTCAATTGCTGGCCGGGCTGTGTT